CAATAACATTTAGGCCAAGTTCTAGATCAACAATGCAATATAATTTAATTTGATTCAAAACTCACCACACAATGCACATGAAACAATGAATCTGATTTTGTTCTGATCTTGAATTTATACAAGACAACATTTGCAAGTGTAACAAAGTATGAATGAGAGGTACCAAAAGAATCCATTGTTTAACAAGAAGTCAATCTTCATTATTATACAAATTATTTTTCACATGCACACTTGAACTGTGTCGGCACCAACCCAGTTAAAAATAATTTCGAAAATATAAACAATCAAAGAATAAAAAATAAATTAAAAAAAATCTTTTGAAGAAAGAATACCGAACCCAATAAAGGTTGCCTACGTATCTCATTGATGAGAATCAGGTTTGCGTAGTTCTTCCAAATATGACATAAAATTTATAAACAACAAATTACTTTTTGAAAGGAAAAAATAATGAGAATAAAAATCAATGAGCAACATTGAAAGACGGGCAACCCGAATTGAACAAAATATTTTTTATTTACAATTTAAAGAAAATTTTTACAAGGACGCATGAATCAGTGAGTCACATTGAAGGGCGGACCACCTAAATTTAACAAAAGTACAAAAATCGTTGAAGGACGGACTACCCAAACTTAAAAAATGTCAATTAAACTAATTTTTTCAATGGAGTATAATAAAAATCAAAGATATACAATGAATGTGACATCATGTACAAAAAATTAATGCAAAATAAACAAACCAACTCGGAGTGAAGCCTCATAAATACTGGAGTCTGTGTACAATCTTGGTGAAATTTTGAGGGCATTCCAAAAAAATTTTGCCCTTATATCAGCTTCAACAAACCTCCGATATTTAATATTGTAATTACTATCTCCATTATAAAATTTTGGAGACTTCCACAAAATTTTGCCCCAGTTTCTGTTCTTAAAATTTGGAAAACTTACGGGGAAGATGACCGAGCCTTAATGGCGCCTACGTATCCTGTTGAAGTAGGAATCAGGTCAAACGTAGTTCAAACGGCTTGTAACTTGAATAAAACAAGACTTGAATTATGAATATTCTAAAAACTAGGTTAACAAAAATAACTTTGAAATAATGAATAATACATCACGTATAACAGATATATCATATAATATACAAACAATGAGTGCATGTTATGCAAATATGTCTTGAGTGTTATGCTTAATGCGATGTTTTGGTTTCGCTTTACACTAGCTGACTAAGAGTGGGCTTAAAAAGAGACTTGTTTACCCGAGTTGGACAACTACGGGATGAAGTATAATAAACAACGTTGGATGACCGCAAGCCAACTATTTTTTTATCACTTCCAAAGAATTTCAAAGGTGTTTTTCTGAAGGACAGTCGTGGAAAGCCACGTAACCGCCTTTATCCTAATGCATTCTATTTGCCATTTGGCAGAAATTATGTAATGAAATAGAATAATATACAATAAATAATGAATAAATAATTAGTACGACATGCAAATAATTAACAAAATATACAAGATATAATGAATAACACAATAAAGAATAGTATCTACAATTTGAAAAAATGAACCCAGAATGGTTAGAACCTCTAATTTCCCCAGCGGAGTCGCCATTCTGTTGACATCCTTTGAATAGGAGCAACGTCGCGGCGACTCAATAATAAAAAAAAGAATTGGTTAATTGAATTTTTAAAAAGGGTAAAGGGGTCAAAAGTGGTAAAAGGGGGTTAAAGGGAAAAGGGAGTCGCCACCTAATTTTTAGGAAAACTAGGAAACCGATTAACTAATTAACCTAAAAGAAATGCCTACGAAACCAATTTGATTCTAGGTAAGGAGTTCAAGTTATTCCGAAGGGAAGGGGTTAGGCACCCTTCGAAATCCACAACTGTGGTTCCCGACTGAGTTCATCTTTTCAAATTGAGGAGATAACAATAATATACCAGTAATATAAATAAAAAATAATAATAAAATAAAATAACAACATGAGAAACGGCCTAAGGTTTGCCTAGCATCAATATATACAAAATAATGAATTGTAAAATATAATTCGAACTCCTTTCGAATAACTTCAATGAAACAAGTCTTGGGTACCTGTAAACACACTTAGTAAAGGTGTTAGTAATAAATAAAAATGAATAAAATTGAATATATGAAATAATAATTTAAAAAACAAAAATCCGTCTTACTAACATGGGAGACCTTGAAAATCGACGGTAATTTCTTCATCGGCCCTTTTAACAATTTAATAAACAAGTTATATGAACTTAAACTTAAAATTTCCGTCTTTTAATATTGGGGAGGCCTCCAAAACCGACGGAGAGTTTTTTCATTGGCCAATTAACAAATATATTTAATATAACCTGAACATCAACAAAACATAACAAACTTATCCCAAGAGAATATGGAAAACAACAACCAAACTAAAACAACATAATTAGAAATGAAAATAACAATAACGTAATATATAAAAATAACATTAAAATAAAATAATAACAAAACCCTGAAAAGTTAAGATAGCAAATAGTTGACTAACAATTTTAAAATAATAATAATAATAAATAAATAAACATCAAACCATAAAATAATGCTAATATTAAAACTACAATAAACACAAATATTAATTGACTTTTAGAACTACATTAAACTAAAAAAACAAAACAAACTATATATAATAAACAGAAAACATAAAATGGCTGGGAATTAAATAAAACAAGGCTAAGAAAAAAAATTTACCTGGTTCTGGGCGGCGAACCAGAACTACGAGTTTGAAGGAGACGACTCCACCTCCTCAACTCGAAAAACCACAAAAACACTTTAAAATTTTTGAACTATGGGAACCAAGAATTCTCAAAATTTTATGAGTATTCTTTTGTTTTCCCTTCCAAATCCTCCCCTAAAAATAGTGAAAGAAGTGGGTTTATATAGAAACTCAAAAATCCTCAAAAAGGATGAAATACCGATGTGGGACAGTTGCAAAATTGAAAATTATTTGAGAAAAGATGTGGGAAAGGCAGATTTTTTTTTATATTATTTATTTTTTTGTATTTGACTCAAAATGTATTAATTTTAAAACCATCGAACCAAAATTTGGTGTCAACATTTGTTATACGAAAACAACCTACTTTAAGCCCACAACATTCACATATATGCACATTTGTGGACATTCTACTAGGTAACAAAAGATCCCATTATGGTTAGACCTTATAAAACAGTTACACAAAAACCATTCAGTGAATTAAAGCTTATCATTCGTAATCATCCATCAAAAGATCCCATTATGGTTAGACCTTACAAAATAGCTACACAAAAATCATTCAATAAATTAAAGCTTATCATTAATAATCATCCATATCATACTGTGACGTTCAAGTTCGCTGATGCTTAAGAAGAATTCCATCCTCTTTATATTTTGAGTAATTCCCATTGCTGCCTTAACTCGTTCATCTGAGTTGTATGTTTCATATGCAGGGAATCCAATAATAGAATATATCTTACCACGAATTTCAGATAGACACGCTCTCCTAGATTGTCAATTAAAGAAGACATCCTGTTATCATGGCTTTCAGTGAATTGTTTCATCACCTCCACCAAACCTTTAAAAACAATCTCTTATCATCTTTAACTGTTTTTCTTTTTTTGCATCTACCTTTTTCATTGACTTTAGAAGATGATGCTTTAAAACAGTTACCCTTTTTCTAAGATTGATGGGTTTCACCTTTTTGAGCGGTGAATGAACTTTATGCTGCTCCAGTTGATTCATTAGGTTCATGTTGAGCGTTAAATGGACTTTGTGTTGCTCCAGTTGGTTCCTCTTAAGCATCTCGATTTTTTCTTGTGCCTGAAGCATCATCTATGTCGACAACATCAATGGAAAATCCCACAGACATGTCATTAGTAATTTCTTGAGATTCGATTCTTTCTATTTCTTCAACAGCATCTTCTGGACCTTCTACAAACTCCCCAGTAGCTCTATCCTTGCCAAATATCTCTTCCCAGTCAGCAAATAATGGCCATTTTTTCAAGTTCATTGACTTGGCATTTGGATCAACCTAAGAAAATAAAGAAAGTAACTTGTCAATATTCCAAAGACAAAGATCCATAACCAAGAGAAAATACAAGTAGAAATTGCCTAATGATTTCAAATAAATATACGTTTTATCAAGTCATCCCAAGCTTTTGGATAATTAACTAAGGTACTTTCGTCACTAAATTGAAATCCTAAACCACTTTGACTCTTTAGCAACGATATGGTTGCATAACTCTTTTTCCATGCTCTTATTTTAGAATCAACATGTGGTAAAGATTTCAATCCACAACTAGGATGACGAGCATTCATGTAGTGTTTCAATTCCATTAAATATTCATGTCTAAAGGTTCCATTATCTCCTCTCCAACCATCAACACACAATTCTTTTAATCCATCTGTAAGAGTAAGTTCCTTTTTTCTGGAGTCCATATTCTTCGACATGAAGGTGTTGGTTTTCTTGGCCTCTTTCTGGACGTGTTGGATGTTGCAACAGTAAAATTAGCCATTTCAATCTGAATTTTTTTTAAATGAAATCACAAGTAATACTAAGTTACAACTTACAAGAAAATTATCTCAATCATAATCAAATTAATTGTAATACAACTTCATTGGTCTGCGAAAAAGATAATGTGAAGAGATAAAGAGAATTTTACTACTTATATTATAAAATAATAGATATACATTGAGATTCACTATTTATTTGCACAAACAACAATGTGAGACATACAAAAGATTGACCATTTGTTTTCACAAAATAATAGAAGGTATTACATTTTACAGTGGATGGAAAATCAAAAGTAAAAGTTCATAAGCACACCAAAAATGAGCACATAGTTTAAAATTATAAATATTGGTTTCCCAATCGTTCATTCCACATAGACTGAGCTAGTTCATCCCTCCAAGTGGTCTACTCATCAGATGTTTCAATTGTATTAATATTTTCATGTTCATGTTGATTCTCCATGTGGAAATCCATTTCCATATCTAAGGGGTCAGCTTCCATATCTCTTCGAATGAAATTGTGTATAAACAACATGCACTAATAATTCTATTGTGAACCTTAACTGAGTACTACGGAGGACTTCTAAGAATTCCCTTACGTCCTTTTAATAGTCCAAATGCTCGTTAGATAACATTACGTTCCCCAGCATGCTTCATATTAAAGAGCTCTTCTCGACATCGAAGTGATGGATTGTCACCCTACCAATCCTTTAGCCAATATCTATATCCTCGGTAGGGAGACAGTAAACCATTTCCATTTGTATATCCTCCATCTCACAAATATTAATTACCTAATAATGTAAACAATAATATAATTACTTTAAATATTATTCTATTTTGATGTAGTAGAAATAAACAAAGGTCTTCCTATATTTAGCATACCATGAGGTACTTTCAACCTATTTCTTCGTACAACAACATCTCGCAATACGCGACCATCAGCGACTGATCCCTCCCAACCAGGTAATACATAAATAAAGTTGAGATTTCTATCACAAACCCTCAAGACATTAGTTGCTATATCTCTATTTCGTGTTCTGTATCTTGGTTTATATATTGCTTCAACTCTAATGGAAATGTAAGTGCCATCCAATGCACCAAGACAACCCTATAAGATAAATTAACTCTAAATACTAAATGACTATTAAAAATAAAAATACGTTCACCATAATATTTCAAGTTTATTGTAGTAAATCAAATGTTAAGATTGAAATTTACCTACCTTAAACCATTTCCATCGATCATCACTATCATGTTCGAGCACCGGATTAGGTTTAACAAGTAATACTGGAGTTAGTTTAAGAATAACTCTTAGATATTCATTAAAGGCTCCACTTACACTCCACCCGATCTAATATAATCAACTTTGATAGACCTGTTCTTTTCATGATGAGCCAAAATATTTAAAAATATTGCTAACTTTTCAGTACTCGACATATTTTTACTGTCAGTCAAACCTCCAATATTCTTGGCTAAGGAGGCTAATATGTGAAAGGCGTTTCTATCCATCCTAAGCTTGTCAATACATAAAATATCATTGTCACGAATGAGAAAATTCAGATGAGACAAGATTTTTGGAATTCTAGCACTCAACAATATCGAATGCCCCATCTATTTCTAGATTGTTTTCTTAATAACATGCTGTAAATAGCCATAAAAAAGCAGATAAGGACAATATAGGAATACACCACAATCTCCTCGAGAATCATAAAGGATTCAACATCGCGCAATTGCTGAGAATCCATTTTCACCTATTTTCCAACTAAAAATCACATCATGATCAAATTGAATCCCAAAAGAAAAAAAACATATCAATCATGTTACTTAACTAAGTATTGCAAACACATTTTGTATAATAGGAAGGTAATAGATGGTTTCATACTAAAATGTTCAATTTTATTGAAAAGAAAATGAAAAGTAACATGAAAAATAGGGTAAAATGTTTATTTTTGTTTGGCTTCTATAGCTAGAATATTAATACTATTTTGTCAAACTGCAAATACATGTTTATCTTTTGCAATTTTAGAAGCTAAAGCAACTAAACTTAATGAACTCATTGGGTCATAAATCACAAATTTTAAACAAACAAAACAAAACCCACATCAAATTTAGGTGTACTCAAACATCAACTTAACTAGAAAATACTCAGAAGATCTACAATTTCATTATCTCATCGAATTAACAAGAGGAAAAACACAAAAGAGAAAACTGGAGGAGGAGAAGAAGAAGAAATAAAAAAAAACAGCCAAATTTTGAGTTTGAGAACTTCTAACCTCAAAGAAAGAATGTCAAATTGAAAGTTTTTCAATCTACTTGCCTAGAAGATGAAGAACCATTATTCTAGATCTACAGATGGATAAATGATGGGAATGTTTATCTAAAAACATGTGGTGTGTATTGGTTGAGAGTGAAGAGTAAAATTGTCAATACATAGACTGACTCACAACTTAAACATGTATTAGTTATGTGATTTTCTAATTTTATAACCAAACATAGTATTATGTATGTTGAATTTTATACTTTAACAAAAAAATGCTACCAAACATGGTAAAGCTTATGCAACATTTAATACCTGAATAACTCAATCCTTATCCAGTAACCAAACGATCCCTTAATGTTTAAAGTAAAGCATCATGACCATTTTAAAGACTAGTGTAGTTGTAAATAAGAAAAACTTTGAATGTTTATAATTTTAGATTCAAATGTTAATTTTGGGTATAGAAACACTCTATTTCATGTTCCATACCTCATTTGAACTTATAAATACCTAATTATCTATTCGAACTAACACACATAATTTATTAAATCATCACAAACATTCACAAATATTTTTTGTCAAAAAACTACATGCAATCAATGTGTGCCTATCTTGAAGGCAAACAATGTACACTACCATATTTTTTAGTACGTAATGAATTAGTTAAGCCATGACATATGAAAATAGTAGTTTAATGAGTTTTTTTACAAATGTCAAATTTTGCATCATTTAACGTTTAAAGTAAAGCATTATGACAATTTTACCAGAGACTAGTACTGTTATAAATAAGAGAAAGTTCTAATTTTTATAATCTTGGCTTTAGATGTGTTTCGCATTTAAAAAAACTCTATTTCACGGTCCATAACTCATTTGCACTTATGAGTATCTATAATACTCATTCAAACTAACACATATAATTTATTAAATCATCACAAATACCCACAAAATATTTTGGTCAAAAAAACTATATACAATAATGTGTGCCTCTCTTGAAGGCAAGCAATGTATACTACCATATATTTTAGTACATAATGAATTAAGTGAACCATGACTTATGAAATTGTAGGTCATTGAGTTTTCTTTTAAATGCCACCAATTTTGTATTATTTAATGTTTATTATGACTATTATACCAGAGACTAGTATAGTTATAAATAAGAGAAAGTTCGAAGTTTCATAATCTTAGCTTTAGATATTTGTTTTGCCTATAGAAAAATTCTATTTCACGGTCCATACCTCCTTTGAACTTATAAATACCTATAATTACTCATTCGAACTAACACAGGTAATTTATTAAATCATCAAAAATACCCACAAAAACTTTTGGTCAAAAAACAACATGCAATCAATATGAGCCTCTCTAAAAGGCAAACAATGTATATTATCATATTTTTTAGTATGTAATGAATTAGGTGAGCCGTTAATATGAAAATTGTAGGTCCATGAGTTTTCTTTCAAATGCCACCAATTTTGTATCGTAATGTTTCAAGAAAAGCACTGTGACCATTTTATCAGAGACTAGTGTAGTTGTCAATAATAGAAATCTTAAACATTCATAATTTTGGCTTAGATGTTACATAATGTATACATAAAAAATCTATATGTATACACAAAAAATCATTCATAAAAATAGACGTGTAAATTTTATTGATGGATACAACAATTGTATCATGTAGACATAAACTTGTAATATATACATAAGAATGTTACCAACAATAATAGGTTATAACTAGAACGAATACGGGAATGAAGTTAATATGATAACTATGAAAATTAATTTTTATTCATAAATTGTACATGTGATTCTTGTTATGTATACTGTAACTGCACTATGTATACATTGGTTCGTGTTTATCTATGTATTCATTGGTCTGTATTCACCTAAGAAATTTGTATACATTTATTCAAAATGAGATTGACATTTATTGGTATACATTGATTTATATTCAACAAAATCAACATTCTATTTTTTACGAGAATCTTATGAGAATATTTATTGCCCATGAAATTGAAAACAAAAATTTCAAATACTAAAACCTGAATTTTTGCTCGAAAAAGTTTAAATTTTTTAAATTTCACAAATCACAGAAATTTTAAAATTAAGTGAAAAAATAACACTGCATAATTATATATTAAAAGAAGATTTTGGGAGGATCAATGGATAAACATACATTTGATCTGCATAAACAAAGTAAATTAAGTAGAATTAGAAAAAATACAAAAGCAATAAATATACCTAAAAAAGATTTTAGAATGAAAAAAAAGGATTAATAACATAAATCTTCTCAAAAGAATTGAAAAAAATTTAATTCCACAAATCATGAAATTCAATAATTAATTGGACAAGAACAAAATTATATATAAAAGATTATTATTAGAAATATTCATTAATAAACATATTGTTATATTTGATTTTTATAAACAAAGTGAATTAAAAAGAAGAACAAAAAATTTGGGAGAGAAACAAATATACGTATAAAATGAATTCAAAAAAATAAAGGAGACAAAAAGAGAAGAAGTCTATTATAAAATAATTGACAAACAAAGAAGAAGAATAAAACAATAAATTTTACCTTTTCAAGAAAAAAAAGCAGCAATCAAATGTGTTTAGAGAAAATTAAGGGGAACAAAAATACAATTTTTAAGAAAGAGCAATATAACTATTGTATGTCAAAGAAATAAAAGAAAGTCCTTTTTTTGCCAATACATTCTAAAATAAGCTATTTTTTTTTTGTCAATTTAGTCTATAGATTGTCATGCTATGCCATTTATTTGCTTTTAACGTTAGACGAGCATAAGCATATTAATTTCAATTAAGGACGTGGTTACAACTTACATATCAGATTTTTGAAACACTTATATGAGTTTTTGGCTAAAATTATCCCTCAACTATGAGTCAAATCTGATGTACATTCTTATATTATCTAAGTGAGCAAAAAACATCCTTATACTATTCAAAAAATAACAAGTATCATCCTTCAGTCTATTTTTTTAAGAAATTGATTGAACCAATAATTATCTTTTTTGAATTTGGTGATCATGTCTTAGCCACAACGAGAAGATCAAACTTACCTAAAAGAATAATGATATGGATATTTTATTCTCACATTTTAAATTTTGTGAGTTGTTAGTTTATATGCTTTTGCATCATCAAGAAGTTGACTAACAACAATACGTAAGTTTTGAAATATTTATATAGTAGGTTTCAATGATTAGAAAAATTATGTAAAAAAATTCATTTCAAAAATATTATGTGCAATTATTTTGGTTTTTTTTAAATTAAAAGACATATATAGTACGTATATACTATATATACAATGTAATTCACATTTTATACAATATAAACAAATACTGAAAATTTAGTGAAATTAAGTAGGTGTTTTGTTGTGAAAATTATAAATAATTACTTTATTTGAAATTTTTAAAGTTAATTTTACTCTTAGCAACTCGTACGTTCAAAGCAAGATGTTGGGAATTGGATTTGATCATATTTTTTACAAATAATATGTAGAATTGAATATATTTTATCGGAATATGTTTTAAGCATCAATTTCTAAAAAAAATCCAACTTAATTAGCTTAACCACGTGTACATATACCGACACATCTACTTATACGACTAAAATAAATTTTACATATTTGGGCTTTAAAATAACAAATAAGCTTAATAGCCTTTCTTCTTCCCCCCATTTTTCTTTTTGAATTCAGACAGCTCCAAACTCCCATTATCACCATCTCAAAAACAGCCAAGAAATGATCTTTTCTTAAATTCAATATTAAATTCAAACCTTAATCACTCCAAAAAGTTATAAAAAAAAAACCACAATCCAATCCCCAATGGCTTCAATCAACCCATCGTATCGATACGCCAACGCCGCCACTTCTTCCATAGATTCTCTCCGATCTTCTTCCAAATCCGACCCTTCATCCTCCACCGACTTATCGCCTCACCCTCACAATCCCCACTCCTCCTCACACGCTATAACGCGCCTTCACGCGCCGTCCACCACACGCCACAACTTTGGGTCTTTGGTCAAGAAATTGGTGGAGCACAAATCTGGGCCGTCGATGAAATCGAAGCCTAAGGGTGAGCTGAAACTGATTGTTCCAGCGGATTTCGTGGCGAAAAGGGGAAATGGATTGAGTGCTTTGCATAAGAAGTTGTTCAAGGGAGTAGTGAAAAGAGATGAAGGGAGTGAGAAGACGAAGAAGGCTTTAACTGAAGTTAAAGCGAATACGAGGAGCTTAGCTATGGTGTTAAGAAGTGAGAGGGAGTTGTTGAGTATGAACAAGGAGCAAGAGAATGAGATTGAGGAACTCAAATTGGTGATTGAAGAGAAAAACAAAGAGGTATTTTCTTGAAACTTGTAATTTGCTTAATGCTAGAGTTTGATTAGAATCCATTTTAGAGGTGGCCGAGCAAGGAATTCTATCGAGTTCATTCAAAAGTTTCAAACTTACTGTCTAAAGTAAGTCAAGGGGTCTCGAAAATTTATGTAAAGTGATGCTTGAAGAGAAGAACATAGAGGTGTGACTATGAATTGTGTAATTTGTTTAATGCTAGCGTTCGATTAGATCCATTTTAGTCTTGATTTTGCCCCCTAGTACTTGATTTAGTGCTTAAGCAATGGCGTAGGTAGGAATGTTAACGAGGCCATCTATAAGTTTCAATTTTGGGATCTTAAGGAAGTTAAGGGGGTTCAAAAGTTTATATATATACGAAAAAATTGATTTTGGACTATGATTTTCCAACAATTGAACCCCTTTATTGGTTGTGGCTCCGCCATTGCGCTCATGATTAGTGCTAAGTTTATTCAAAAGATTATATTTAGTAATAATTGTCAAATTGGTGTTTGCTGAGCTCAAATTGATGCTTGAAGAGAAAAACAGAAAGGTTTGTTCTTGAATTGTCTTAATACTAGAGTTCTATTAGAATCCATTGTAATCTTAATTTGCACCCCCAATACTTGATTTAGTGCTTAAGCAATGGTGTAGCTAGAATTTTTAACAAGTCCGTTCAAAAACTTCAAACTTACAGCCTATTGTAAGTTGAGGGATTCATAAGTTTATGTATTATGTAGGAGAAAGTTGTTTTATATTTGTTTGGGCAGTAGGATTCTCCAATAGTTGAACCCCTTCATTGGATGTGGCTCCGTCATTGTGCTTACGGATAGTGCTGAGTTTATATAAACGATTGCTTTTAGTAATATTTGATGAATTGGTGTATCCCAAATGTTCTACTTCACAAATATTGGAAAAAAATAACTGAATCCTGATACTGTTGCTCGCCCGTGAAAGAAGCAATGGAAGTAAGTTTGATTTTTGACCCAAACCTGTTTTTTTAACAAAAGTTAGAGATTTGTACTTCATGCAGGGGTAAATGAGAGGTTAGAGAACCCTTAAAAGGATCAATTATTTAGTATTCAAATGAAATGTCCTTCTTAGAGTGAAAAATTGATGTAGAGGATTCATACAGCCGATCCAACTAATTTGAGATTGAGGTTTGATTGATAGCTTAAAATTTAACTATGCCTCGTCCTCCATTGATTGTACACTCCTGCAAAGTTTATAAGGGAAGCTCGTGTTTTCGACATTTCTAAGTGGATGGTAACTTGCAGTGAAATTGTTTGGCTAAAAGTTGCACCTTTTTAGATTATGTAAGGATTATAAGTCTGAGTACACTTTCTAAAAGTAATATTAGGTGATATGTTATACTGATAAATGATAATAGCAGATTGCAAATCTTTTGGTTCTTTAGTGAAAGTAGTTTCGTGTTACAACAATGGGGTCATATAGATGTTGAGTTACATAATGGCAACTAGTTTTGTTTTAGAGTAAGCTTCTGTGTGGTAGCTGTTAATTGTACACTGTGTGAATTTAAGAATGCTCTTACTGAAATGACACATTTGTTGTCAAAAATGTGGTGGATGATAGTACCTTCGATGGTACGTTGACTATATGGTGTTGTTTTATCCCATTTGATAAATTATTTTATAATGATGACAGGTTGAGAAGTTAAAGGATTTGTGTTTGAAGCAGAGGGAAGAGATAAGGTCGTTGAAAAATGCCTTACTATTCCCGGATGTTATGAATTCTCAACTTCAGGAACTCGTGGAGAAGCAGGGATCAGAACTCAAACAGGCAAACCAGCTTATACCAAGTCTACAAAAGCAAGTCACTTCTCTTACAGGACAACTACGATGCCTCGCCTATGATCTTGCTGAGGTAACCTTGAGAAAGTTGTTGCCTATATCCGCTTAATATGATTGAGGATTTATTAACATATGCATTAGCGAGTTGTTTAAGATTCTTAATATAAGACCATAAGTTCTAAGAAGAAGACATTTTCTTGAACTTGTGCAGAATTTTTGTCTATTAATATCTGTGTATCCTCTAACGGAGACATTTGTGATGCACCATAGACGTAGTATTAAAAGAACTGCAGCGTTCCTAAGATCAGCAGATATTAGTTAAATGAAGTCACTTTATTGTTTGATATCGTAGTCACCTTACCAATCTTCATCTTAAAAGTTAGAAGGATGAAACCGAGTCAATTTTAATGGATTTTCTTCAATGGTTCAAGTTCACTGCTGAATATATCTTCTCTTGGTGTAAGCCTGAACCAAACTCTTTAACTATACCTAATGAGAAAAAAGGGTCAAGTCTATAGCATAGCTCTTTCTTTCCCCGTTTTCCTTTTAAAGGAGAGGCCTTGCAGATTCGTAGGTCAACATAACATGTTGGATTTGAAATCAAACTCTCTACCTTGAGCTGATAGGAATTGAGACTTCCAATGGTCCACTTTTCTCTCCTCGTAATCGAAGTTGACCCCTTTACCACATAAAATGTGCTTTGGATGTAATGATGCAAATATGTTCAGTCTATATTAAAACCAACATTAGTTTTTGAAATGATATTTTTCATACAGGTTAAAGCAGATAAATACCCTCTAAGAGGGTGTTATGATTCTCTTGATAGCTCCCCAAGGTCACCAGAATACGATCAAGAAGAGGCAGTGAATTCTCTGGTAAGTACATTTTCATGATAAGAAGAAACAAAAATGGTGGTAAAACGGATAACCAATGATATCTTGCATAAAAATTGGATATATGTTTTCTGCTCTATGTTAAGATTCTTTTGGAAAGCATTTCACTGTAACAATTTTAAGCATACGCTTCAGAGAGTAACTAAGTTTTTCTTCATTTTTCTCTAGGAATTCAGTTCTGAGAACACAATTTCCCCCAGTAGTCCAGATGACATGCTTCTCAAGGACTTAAATCCATGCTTAACGCCTTATTCTGCCAAGACGAAGTCCAAGGTGAGTGTCTCCTGAACCAAAAAAAGCTGCACAACTTGGTTACTGGAAGTTGTTTCTCATATAGAAATCTTAAGTTGCTAGATTATGCTTTCAACGCACCCCTCATTGATTATTTAACGAGACATGAAAGTGGAGTTTCTTTTCTATAATGGGGGACAATATGAAATGAATTCAACAGTTCTGCCAGCTTTGATACCATGTTCAAAGTGTGAGATCGTCCCATCTAAAAGCTTAAACTGTCAAATATGACACATTTTTATATACTTAAATCTATTCAACCGTCATAACCTTGAAAATTCGTCTGAAGTACCTCTACCAGTATATTGCATAATTTCTGAATTCACAATCATTTGAAGTTTTCAAGATTCATTTCAAAACATGATTTTCTATTCTTTTTACCAAAGTGAACTCAATTTTGATGCCTAATGTGATCTATTTTAGGAATTTGAGTTCAATTCTCCTGATGACAAGAACTTGCTTAGAAACAATATACAAGTGTACCATGACACTAGCTACAGCTACAGTTCTTGTGCAAGCAAAGTATCGAAAAGTTCAGGCTGTTGTCAAAGTTCAAATGCAGCCAACAATTCAATTCGCGCAGCTCGTGGATCTGATGAAAGCAAATACACATACAGAAAGCAGATCCACAATATGTTCTAAGGTTATATATTCTTGTTCCTAAACAAGCATCTTTATATATAGCTTTGGGATGATTAAGGCCGCGTTGAGATGAAATTAAATTAAAGAAACATAGTCAGTGAGTATTCAATATTCACATAGCCGACTCCAACTTATTTCGAATTGAAGCACAGAGTTTTTTAAGGATTTTTGGTTGCATTTTACAACTAAGATTATGTGATGCACTTGTATATTTTGTTTACTTCACATTTTATGTGCAAAACTTGGAGCTTTTTGAATTTTGAGATTCAAAACCATATAATTGCTCATTAGTCAATAAAAACACTTGTATGTACTCCCTTTGTTTCATTTTTTTTGTGTCTTAGTTTGTCTTGATACGTAATTTAAGAAGGTAGAGTTTTGAATCTCGTGATCCTAATCTAGAGGTGTGTGTAACACATTAAAGATATCGTTCTTAATCATACGATCTTAATGTCATGTCAGTTTTGTAAGGGTGTGCCACTAAAGGTAAAATAAGAATGATGAAATCCAAGAGTTATTGAATAGAAAGGCGACATTTTTATTAATATATTCAAAACAACGTAAGATAAATAAAATGAAATGGAAGCAATGTATTCCATCTATCTTGGTAGCAATCCACCATTAAGTGCCATCCTCACAACCTGGAAAATAACTGCCACATATCCAGATATTAAAAGATGTCATGTTAGAACTTGTTTTTTTTCCATAATATATGTTTTGATTTTATGAAAGTATACAAATTATATACACTCACAATATTCAAAATTAAAGGTTTCGTCTATAAATAATGATATATAGTATATGTTAATCATTCAAAAAATATTATTTACACTTCATTTGATTGATCTAGCCTTTTCTTTGTATCGATATTGTGAATCACATACTAAGGGATCGTTTGATAGAGTGTACTAGAGAAAATAATGCATACATTAGCTTGACGTATTAGTAGTGCCTTGTTTGGTACACTTTTCTAACTAATGCTTGTATTAGTAATACACTCTATTGTTTTTGTATTAAAGAGTGTATTACTTATACCATCTATTTTTATGCATTAGTAATGTAATGGATTTTAATGCCATGCATTAACATTATAAAAGACACAATTAACCTTAAAAACTTTTTTTATATCCATTCCATTATATTTGTGGAGGGTATTTTTTTAAACAATTTTTTTTCTAAAAATATTATGCAATGCATTATATTTAAAACTTGCATTTGATTAAATAATAAAAAACTACCCTCAGAGCCTTTTTGAAACATTTCATAACATTTTCTTTTCTTTTTAATTTTCTTTGTTGTCATGTGTTTTATTTTCATTTATTTTTCTATGTCTTTTAATTTGTTGGTGTTTTCATAGACTTTATGTTCTCTTAAATATATATTTTTGTAAAAAAAAAATCTAATTTCAACATAATTTAATTAAATAAAATTACTATTGTTACGATAAATTTGATAAAAAAGAAATTCTTTTTCCAACTTTCCACAAAAATATTTTGACTCAAATAGTACAAATATTAAATATTATTTTTGAAAATTAAAAAAGAAGAAGAAGAAGAGGAGGAGGAGGAGTTAATGATGTTTTAGCAAAGAACTTTGTTGCAACTTGAAAAAAAGTGTAAAAATAAATAAAGTGTGAAGGGTATTTTTATAAACAAATGTTTTCAAATAGAAATTATGCCAAATTTGTTATTTCTAATACATCAAATCAAACAATGTATAAGAAATAATGCCTGTATGACTAATGCAAGTATTAATATGCAAGCACTACTAATGCAAGCATTACTAATGCACCATATTTTGCATTATTCTTATACACTCTACCAAATGACCCCTAAAAGGGCATCCTACACGACTTACTTGAGACTACTAAGGTTGTCGGTGGACTCTTTTATTAAGGAGAAGGGGGGGGGGGGTGTAAACATGACAAATTCTTAAGAATATCAAAATTAATTATGAACAATATGCAACGATGTATCCGGTGTAATCTCATATGCATATGTGGGGCCTGAGCAGGATATGGTATATTGAGTCGACATTTTTGAAAATAATTTCAAAGCAATTTGAAAAAGGAAATATGGAAATATAGAAGATATTGGAAACAAAAGGAAAGCAATACATAGCATTTAGACAAAAATGAGTAGTAACAACAATGAAATAAGGCAATAATCGAGTCGAGAAATATTGATAAGAGAAAATCAACGACAAGAAACTACAAAAGTAATGCTAATACTATCGTAAGAAAGTGAAAACAGACACAATGCTTCAAACTATTACCAATCATATCTTAGCACATTCACATGCCTACTTATTTTAATATAATTCACAACCTTTATACCTTTCTACGAACGATACAGTTAAACTGAATTGAGAATGAAAATAAAAGACTATATAATAGAATTTAAAATAGTTTGAGGGATTAGAAAATTAGCTTACAAGATCCAATGAATAAAACAGCAAAGAGAACAAGAAAAATATGAATTGGCTCCAACCCTTTGTTGCCTCTTTGATTTTGCAATATTCCCCTTTTTGTTATGTTCTTTTCAAACTTAGCCACTTTCTTCTCTGCAACTCTTTTTGAAGTTGTCTACAAAATAAATAAATAAATTTTAAATTTTAAAATCGTCCCAGACTCCATTTTTTAACAGAGTTACAAAATATCATAAAATTATATCATGTATATTGATCAAATATTACATATACATTAAATCATGAACACTATTGTGGTGCCACAAACCAATGAATTGAATCCCTTCTTCAAAATGATTACACATAAAAACAAATATTTTCATATATATAATGACAAAGATAAATAAAAAAAATTGACATCACAAGTTCAAATATTTTGAATCCCCTATTAAAACTTCTAGTTCTGCTCTCGAATATTTTTAACGAAATTTTTAGATTCACATGTATTTGATATTGAAAATGAAACACAAACCTCATTGTAATTATTACACTATTAAAGAAAATAATGCTAAAATTACATATTAACTGCATAATACTGAGAGGAAGGAAGATATTAGCTCTTACCATTGATGTGTTGCTTTGGTTGTAGTTATAAGCACTATATATGAACTTTATACTAATTTGAAATGTGATAATGAAGAAGAAAGAAAATGCCCTTAATGTTTGTAGTATTATATATAAGCTCTCGTTCATTTTTATTTGTCACGTTTTACTTTTTAAGAGATAGAATATATGTACTTTAATATGAGAAGAATTGCAGTTTATAATACGTTTCACATAATTTTTTAATATCTTAATTTAAAATATTAATTAATCTAATTACATTTAATTCCAAAATCAATCAAAATAATTATCAATAAATTAAAATGTAATAAGTACGTATATTCTTTTATTAAATGTGATAATAAATTAAAGTAGTTTCTTCTTTTATCCTTCAACATGAAATGTTGCAAGAGTAATTAAAAAAAACACAAGACTTGTCGGCCAAAAGCAATTACTCCTCCTCGGTATCTTTTTAATTAATATGTTATATTATTCGGGAGTTAGTTTAATTAATTTTTAAAGTTAAATCAGATTAAATTAATTTTAATATTTTAAAAATAAAAAGTAAATATTGAAAAACTATTTGAAAAGAATATTATAAGTTGCATCTATTTAGTATATTTTCAAAAAGAAAATTATAACAAATAAAAAAAACAGATGAAATATATATATTTTTTTTACTTGACTACTGAATAAAACTCAAAGGACCGAAGAGTGTAGCATATACATAAATTTTATTTATATTATTACGATGGAAAACTTATTTTCAATAGAATTTTAATTACGTTAAAAAGATAAATAATTTTTTTTTATTATACTAATAATATTAAAACCAAACGTCTGTTGAAGGGTAAAGTGCTAAAGTTACCCAATTCTAATCTAATTAGTATAGGGACCAATTTAGCCCCCCATAAACAAGGGGAGAAACTAGGAAATGATGAATTAATTTATCAAAGTTATTCCTCTTATTTCAAATTATTTATTGTGAATTTTTATATCCAAAATTATTGATTATTTTAGAAGTTAAAGACAAACTTAATATTTTTTTCATTTTACACTTAACATTGGTTGTTTTTTAAAATTACACACATCTCCTAATAACAAATATATAAAGTAAATATTCATTGAAAAACTTACAATATATTTTAAGACTTATCATATAGTAAGAAATTCCTCTTGATTAATGTTTAATTTGAGACGGGGAGGATAAAAAATATTCATTTATTAGTTACTAATGATTCATACAATCGATTTTACTCTTATTACATAGTATATAAGTGTGTATTCAGGAGGAGGTCATCAGGTCCACGTGAACCTATGTTTTCCTCTCGATATCATATATAGTACTATTATATTTTATTGAGATATAAATGTGTGAATTCACACTCGGAGTATCATATAATGCAATGATGACTGAAAAATCGCTCTACATGAGGTTAAAATTTTAAATTTTATATTTATCTTATTTTATTTAACTTTCTAAACTTAGTTTTGAATCTATTATAATAAAATTTTAACGATTTTCAATTATAAGAATTTAAACATTAAATCGATTAGATTTATATTTTAGATGTATCATTTTGTAATAGTGGACTAAATATGCCTCTCATGGATTGTATAGTGATTTATAATTAGACTTTATTTTAATACAAAAATGGTGGACTTGGTCATCATTTAATAGATGACATAAGAATGATGACTTTTCATGGATTAGATCAACATGACGCTCGTACTAATTAAATAATAGTGTAAATAATTAAACATTTGACATTTTTAATTATTGACTCTTTTCTACTTTTTGGACATACATGCTATTTATATTTACAAATGACAACGTACTATTTTAAAAATCAATATTTATCTTTACTATATAGTTTTATACATTATTTAATATTTTAAAAATATTTATAATGTAATTAATTCAATTGGAGAATGTAATGTAAAATGAAAGAGATGAAAATTTTAATTACTCTAATTAGGTTTATATTGATGGAGAGCAATAGCAAAGTTAACAGACGCAAAAGAAATTTGATGATAAAAAAATATTACACACACATATATACTCATATTATAGTATATATATTTAAATTTTGTAACTGTTTTCATTATTTATTTATTTAGACTTTTAATCTCCTTTTGCCATGATTTTCAATTTTATAGAGTGAGGCCCTAAATCTCAAAATATAAACTTATATGATTGTACGACGTAAGTTTATTTATTTATTTTTTTTTTGGGCCAATTCTTTTGGCAATATTAGGCCAATCTTATCTCCTTGTAGAAAAATTTCCTTATATAGGCATAAACATATTACATCATGAATAATTTTTTTTGCACACCAAACTTGATTAGATCCCTCCAATTCTATGTATTATTTGATTGCAGATATTTTTGAAATATTTGTTTTTGAAAGAACTTATCGTCAAACTTTTAATAGAATGACAAAGTTCAGTCTTGAAATCAAGAAAATATGGTTCCTCTTTACAACGAACAATAACATGATTTATCCGATATAAAATTGATATGGCGTATATAATGTTGTTTATGTGATGTTGTACTTGAAATGAAGTTGTGGTCAGGGCAACTCAATGTCTTTAAAAATGAGGCTTATATCTTAGACCTCCAAAATTGAAATGCCTAAGAAAATATAATGAATTTTTTAATTTATTTATTCTTTTTTTTAGTTTGTTTCAAAACATTAAAGAATGTTTCTTTTTTATGGATCAATTTTAAAATTTAACTTCCACGTGATATGTTTAACACCACAAGATCAAAAAATATTTTGGTATATATAGAGATTAAGATCATAAAAAAATAAAGATATATTAAAAAGAAAGAAATAACTTGAATATTAAATATAGAAAAAATAATTAAAATTTTATGCACATGGAATATTAAAGTTAAAGTCTTGTCAAAACAGAGACTAAAAGAGATAAAGTTATTTTTTTAAAAACAAAGAGAGTACAAAAGTAAAGATATTAAAAATAAGAATGGAGAAAAGTATGTTGGTCAAGCTTGAACCTGGACCTTATAGTTGAAGTGTAGAACTTTAATACGTGTAAAAATGGGTTGAGTAAAATAATAGTTTATCTATATTTTATGAATAAATAGTTTTTTACTTAAAAATTCACCAAACTGTTGAAAATACTTTATTTATTTTATTTTATCATAAATATAAAAAAAGAAACTTAAAAATAAATTCGGAGTTGGAGGGTTCGAGGGTGGGGTAGGGGTGGGGTCGATGGCTGGGGTGGGGTGGGTCCGGATGAAAAAATAAATAGTTGAAGTTGAAAATACTTTTTAGAAACAAACTTTTTTTTTGGTGGGGGTGGGGATGGGATGGAGGTGATTGGAGGACGATGGTAGGGATGAAGTTGAAAACATTTTCTAAAATTAAACTTAATTTTTTTTTTTGGAGTGGGTGGTAAGGGGCTGGTGTGGGGTGGGTTGGAGGGGGTCGAGGGCAGAGGTGAAAAAATAATTATTTATTCCTTTGTTTCATTGGTAAATTGTAGCAGTTAACAGGTTGGTGAATTTAATGGTCCATCATAACTCGCTTATACTACTAACTCATTCGGATGTTGTCAAAGATCAACTAAATACATGCCTAGATGGAGAACTATCTAATAAACTAGTATTACGATTAATATATACTAAGTTAACATATTTTGATAATCTATTCGTATTCACTAGAGAGATAATGTAATATCTAATGTTTAATGAGAGCCACACAACTACTAATAGAACTTCATTATATCTAACTAAATTAATTATTTATTATTATTGATTTAAATATTTTTCAATCATTTTCGAAACAAGTACAAGATCATTTGAAATAGTAGGTATGAATGGATGTTCTCGAGATCTTTTTAGCTTCAAATAACTAAGTAATTTATAAACTACTAGTATTTCATAATTCAAAAGCAAATAGTTTTAGAATATGTAATAACTATTTTTTTTACCTTTTTTTATATAGATGTAGTTCACTAATTCACTAAATATGCTTACACAAAGCACGTGCCAAAATATTATATATATATATATATATATATATATATA